TAGTAAAGTTCACTTAAGAACAAATGTGAATTGACAACACAAGTGAAACACGAATAGGTGTACGTTAAAAGAGTGTTTGTACATCTGTAGAAAGAAGTGAGTCTGGCTATAAGCTACACACCAAAAGCTTTGCAGTAAACCAACCGAGAAGTAGCTGCATGTATTCAAATTTCTACAACAAACTTTGAAAACAAAGATGATACGGATGATTTGACTCTCCTCTGGCCTGAGCTGGTGGTAACATTCATCTTCTATAAAAGAGAAACCTGAAATCCAACCAGTCAAGGATAATGTAACTGGGCAGCAGAATAAACTCAGACCTACTGCTTTGTGAATGTCTAACATAACATGCGGAGTCGTCATCATTTTCAATTGTGACTTCTGTGACCTACAAACCTAATTAAATTACACCAAGTGAGAACCATCTGACACTTTGCCAACCCACTGCAACCTATAAGGCTACATCGGACATCATGAAAAGGCACTATTTAAAATATTACCCTATAACAGAAGCCATCAAATAGCAAATTTGGTGCCTTTGGTTGAGAGTTGAAACTTGATTTATTAGAAATCAATAATGCAAAGTTATTAAAACAAAGTCATTCAGGTCAATGACAGGGTTAAATTCATTACCAAGACCGCGTGAGTGACAATGACCCTGACCTTTGAGATAATCAGGATCAAGGCTTGTGGATGGGATTTAGAGAAAGACAGACAAGTTATTTTATTTTATTTTTTCAGGGAAGCTTGGCTGCAGATAGTCAATTAGGAATTTATTTTTTAGACGATCTTTTCTAGAGAAGAATGTTTCATAATTTCTCCACTTCACATATAAATCTAAAGCAGTGGGTTGCAAAGTGGGGGGTAGATTACCAGTATCAAAGTATGCTAATGCTTCAAAAGATTACAGTCTCAGTACCACTAAGACTTTCTGTCCTGCTTTTCTATTTAATAAATGCATTCATTTAGAACGGCATCTTTAATCCGTTGTAATAGGGAAATGAAATATTTGTTCCAATTATCAAATATGTTAGTCCATTTTCTTTGGAGGGACTATGTCTCTCGGCTGGCCTGGGAACGCCTTGGGGTTCCCCCGGAGGAGCTGGAAGAAGTGGCTGGGGAGAGGGAAGTCTGGGCCTCCCTTCTGAAGCTGCTGCCCCCGCGACCCGATCCCGGATAAGCGGAAGAAGATGGATGGATGGATGGATGGATTTTCTTTGTTATTATGCAATTTAACTCATTTATAATCGTTGTGATGTTAATGTCCTTTGTTAAAGGACATTTGGTTATCTCCATGAGAAAGGTACAACAAAATGACCCTTCCAAAGCTTTGCTGCATCCTGTCTGCAGACCCCTGAGAAACTCCTAAAACTACCGTTTGATCACGACCTCTGATCTCCAAACCGTCTGTAAATAAAATGCTCTTTCATCATGTCTCGTTACCCCGACACTAACAGGTTACAGCCCGGCGACGGGTTTGTTTTCTCTCCAAGCGACTTCCTCCAAAATTGCCCCTTCAAACTCAGCTTCTCTGCAACAACAAACAGGGGTTTATTTGTCCAGTTCAGTCAAGCAGAGCACTGATACGAACCCCCGGCTCTGCGTCAGGATGAAATACCACAGCCGCTCCACTGGCATTCCTCACTTCCAAGTCCCCACTCCCACTCCACTGCATTTTTTTGTCCGAGAGTGTGCGTGCACTACTGTGGCCTCTGTGTCCCGCTCCCACGTGATGGAGCTGTGATGCCCATTTTAACTTAAGCTGAAACCAAAAGCTAAGACGGACAACATTAGAGGATGAAGGAAAAACTGCCACAATACCAAGGACTTTAGACATCAAAGTGTATTGTTTGAAAATAAAAACAAAGAATAAATTATTACTGACCTACTAATATCAGTTAAAAATATAAAAAAAAATACGCCCCTTTAAAATGTGGGACATTCATTGTTTAATTGAGGTGTGCGTGAGCATGAGCTGGACAACCAGCATCAAGGTCTTAGAGCTGAATATACTTTTCATCACTGCATTCCTGTTGGCTATGAATTATTTTAATGAGGTCTAGAGAACTTGCTGTATTGACCAGAGGTTTTTTTTTTTTTTTTTCCAACTATGTAAAGCACACAAGTGCTATTTGCTGCATACTTGCAGTCAGCTGGTTGTTGGAATGTTCCTACAATTTTCCTTTGCTCACAAGAAACATAAAACCAGCAGTTAGGAAGGACTTCCTGCAACCACAGATCCAGACAGTCATGGTGTGGAAAGAAACCTGTCTCTGCTGTTGAGTTACTTTCAATTTTAAAAATACTGCTGGGAAACTATGAACATTGGTGTTAAGTAGATGACTGGTGCTAAGGTCACATTTGTGATAGAAAACAATCTTAGAAAAATAATAATCACCGTGTTATATTATTAATAATTTCTTGTTTTGCTTTGTTTTGTTTTTTCAGTAGTATTGAAGCAAAGTCATTTTTAATCAAGCCATGAATGTCATAAAGAGTCAATAGTTACATAGAATATAGACTGACGCTTTACCTTCTCAGTTCAGTTCCTCTGTAATTTCTAAGTTTGTGTAAATTATAGGCATAGTCAGAGGATCACCACCAGTCAGTAGTTTTAAAGCAACACTTCTTTGAAACAGCACATGACAACTTGATGGTAAGAAAGGCTATAAATATGTTGAACTTAATGGCTTGTATACCTTAATAAAAAAAGACCCCAACATTTCTGTTATAATGCAGCCATACTAAGAAATGGTGGTTTCTAAAGTACAATATTGGCAGATAATAAGGTGATGTCAATTCCTTCCTGTGGGTGTTCATTTCACCACTTACTACTCTGTTGTTTCAGCACCACTCAAAATTACAACAGATCTGTTCAGCTACTGGATTTATGGGGGAAAAAAAATGGAGTACTGGTGTCTTTTGCAGGAAATGAGCACAGAGAGAAAGGGGATAGATATGCAAGCAAAGCTCCCAAAGTCATGTTGCCACTACACCAACCACCAGAAGCTGAAACACGAAGTGAGCCATTAACAAGCAGCTAAAAATATATTTAATATATTTAGTCAGAGTTTAATTAAATTTATATGATGCACCAGAAGCACGCTACAATCCAAGAAAAGTTGTTTTGCCAAAATAACGCAATTATTTTTTTTTAAATTTATAGTTTATTTAGTATCTTACAGTATACTACACTGTAAATTAAATTCAGTATTTTGTATGTAAGAGATTGTTGAAGGGCAATAAAGCATAATAACTTAATTATTTTTATTTTTGATAAGCTATTTGAATACTTTTTTTTTTTTTTTTCCCCGATTTACTTCAGAAGAAGTTTCAACATAAAGCCATCATGGAAAATGTCATATTTTAAAGCTGTTCTTCTAGTTCATGCATTGTTTGTCCAAACTACATGAGCAATTATTTAAACAAGTGATTTCAAAAGAGACCAATATTAACCATAATTCATTTTCCATAATTGGGCAGCTCCACCTTGCATCACAAAATGCATATGTAGGACCAGGTTTAAGCTCCACGCTGCCTGTTATCTGAAGGCCTTCTGAGGAAACTTGTTCAGCTCTGGTGTTTCTCACCTCAGTCTTTTTCCCCCACATCATTTAGCAAAGAGGGTGTGAGAAAATAAGGCTAATTACTTTCACCTCTCTCTCTGTTCTTGGTCCCTACAGACGTCTTCCAAAGAGTGATAATTTAGGTTTCCTAAAACATTCAATAATGTTTGGGATAGCATGACGATGGTAAAGATATGTCTGGAGCAGACCCTGGCTGTGTGGGTTTAATCTCTATGAGGCTCCAAAGTTTTCCTTCTTTTTCCAAACAGTTTATTCCACATAGTGCAATGAAACTAAAATCTCCCTTCACCACCGAGACTTGCACACCTAAAAGGCTTCCATCGTGTCGACAGACACAAGCACATTACAGTAAATCTCAACAGCAACAAAAAGCTTTCCGACTCAGTGGTCAAGTTCATAGACGCTGTCGAAACACAAATTTACTAAAGGAGCTGCTGACTCCTAAGCATCATCATCTTATTATCCCTGCGCCTCTCAGATGGAGCCACTATGCATTTTTAATCACCAGCCATGTATCAATTATTCAGCAGTTGGTGAATTTATGTCTCTTTACCAAAAAGGTAGTAATTGAGGCAGCCGTTTGATGAATTTATGTCAGACATCCCACCAAGAGAAACAAAATAAAAGTATCATTTACATATTCCTTGGTGTAAATGGAACACACTATTGCCAACCACACATTCACAATTACACACAAAATCATCACCTAATTGGTAACTAAGTGTTTGAAATGTGGCATGAAGTTGTTGAACTTATTTAATGATTCCCCTTTTTCATCCTGTAGGTCATGACATGAATAATCTTCCCATTTTCTGTTCTCCTTCTAAATCAGAGTTCCTAAACCAGGTGTAAATAATACATACGCCTACACACACATTCATACATAATATATACGTAAAGACATACCTATAAATACACACACAAACCTACACACGCATGCTCAACCAAACCACAGTGCTTTATGACCAGTCCAAATCCATCACCCCTGTACTTTTTAACAAGAACCATTTTGAGGCTTTTCTTAAACAACCTCCCTGTTGGAAACATAGACACCATGTACCTTTTACAAATCAACACATTTTCTACAACATTTCAACGTCAGTCTGTGGTAATTTCAGCCTGCAAGAAAGCAAGAGGCAGCCATGCTTTTAGAAGATAACAGGAAGGCTCAGCTGAGTAAAGGCTCAACTATTTTTTTTTTTATTATTTTGTCATTTTTACCTTTCAACATTGTCTTATACATTATACAAGGTACTTTGAAATGTTCGCTGCCAATTTGGGAGATAAGAATCTTGGCAGTGCTAGAAAAGAGGAAGTTTGTGTTGTCAAAACAAAACTGTGCATTTTATGTAAAGCATTATGACATTTTACAGCATTAATGAAGGACTTTAACAGCAGTAAAATTTGACTCACCAAAACTCTGTTCTCCGTCTTGTCTCCTTTGATTTCCAGTTTGACTCTTTTCCTCAGTGACAACTTCACCTTCCTCCCCACTGCATCCCTCACACTCTCTACATAAGGGACAAGAAAATGAGAAGAGAGTGAAACTTAAGAGGAATATCTGTCGAGTCGAGTAAATATCTGTGTTGGGAATACTATTTCCCAACACAGCTCAAGATCCTATTGCCTTTGGGGGGGATAATTTCCAGAAAAACTAGATGTTCAATGAAAAAATTGATGAAATCCAATGTTAATTGACTTCAGGAGAAAGGGTTTTTATTAGTTCTCATTTAATTTCCCAATCCTGTGTGGGAATATTTAATTCTGGGAGTTGTCAGTGAATGAGATGTGAAAAGTCACATCAATACAAACATTTTTTTTTTCTTAAAAACTAATATATTTTAGAAATATCATTACATTTCTACCAACAGAATTCTGATATGTTGCACCACTAATTTACAACCATTCTCATTTGTATGATGAATGCTTAGCTAGCATTGCAACTGTTCTAAGCCGTGTTTAAATGGCGTTGGTAAGCCGATTCAGGCCAGGAGTAAAACAAAATGACTTGTACCATTTGCTTTTCATTTTTGAAGTTTGAAGTCTTCAAATGCTATTCTGGTTTTTCTCAAACATTCTTGATGCAAATGAGTCCAAGTGTAAAAAAAAAGCCTCAAATTCTCAGTCTGCTGATTCATCCCAGAGAGAAAATCTGGAACATGGAGACCAAAAGGTTGAGAAGGACTGAAAGAAGTAAATAAAAAAAAGAAGAAGTCTTTTTACAATATGGAATGACATGGAAAGTCAAAGAAATTCAAAACACCATTCCCAGGTCTGCCTGTTCAAGAGAGTTCATCCTGAAGGCTGACTTATAGAGGTTTCAGAATCCTAAAAGTCATAGGATTACAAGACCTACATCACGTTCTCCCTAGATAAAAAAAAAATATATATATGCCTTTGGCAGTCAGACAGACAATGCATAATTGTAATTTTCAAAACAAGTGTGCAGGGAGGGAATTTTTGCTTTCCATACACGCGTATAAAAATTGAGTATGGTCACCAGAAAACAGACCAGAAGAAGTAAATGGCCTGAACTTGTGGTTCACTGACTGTGGACCAAGGATAAGGTTAGCTTTAGTGAAATATTTGCTAAGGGGCATTGAGTGTGATGGAGATAAAGAATGAGAAATGTCATGGCATGAACAACATTGCCATCGCAAATTTGGTCACTTTGAAATTTCTTTAAAAGGAATTTAAATATGGATTTATTATCCCTCATATGCCGGGAACCCCCTATGTGACTCACATCTATTTTTTATTTATTTATTTTTTTATATAAAGAAATTAGATGCAAACAAAAGGACACATGAGACATGCTTTTCTGTTCCAATTCATTGTTCACACCCAGTAGGACCGTCATCAGCCAGACAACTAGTTTAAAAGGTATAACTGGGTCAACCACCTCTTCACACTATGCATTCACTTCACACACGCATGACAGCTGACTTCCAGCAGTATCTGCACGCGTCTGACACGGGCAGTGTTTCTGGGAGCGTACATCTGTATTGGCATGCACACATCCCCGCCTCCAGGCTTCCACCCACCGTCATCAGATCAAAGCAACGCTAATAATTAGGTAGAAGGCGAGAATGGTTCGTCTGCCAGCCTGAAGCTTTCAAAAATAAACATCACCAAATGTGCATCCTAATCCTCAGCAGAATTGCCACTGCACAAGCACAAAGTAAAACACATGGAGGTGAGTTTTTATTTTTATTTTTTATGTTTTATCCAAATATTAGGCCTTTCTGAGTTCACGAGTCTGGCCATCTTGGGATCACATGCAGAAGGTATCTAGTGGTTTGTCAAATGTGGTTGCTCTGTCAATTAATGAAAGGATTTCACAATGACTATATATTTATGTAGAGACAGGTTGGATTGAAAAACAAGAAATCCGTGTTCTGACATAAACTTTGCTTGATCGTCACTATTCTTCACATCCATCTTACAGAAACTTGTCTCCATAATAAGTGCATATA